ATCATCTCTATGTTCGTCGAGTATCCTTTCTCTTACTTAATTATATCTCTCAATACTTTCTCAATCATCATCCTATCTCTCGCATTAAATTTGCTCCTCTCTCCAATCCCGCAGTGCCCTAGTTTATTCGAGCCACTCATCTTCTACACCAACACATCATCACATCTTAATTTATGGGCATCATTTTAAAATTAAAAATCAAGCATGTTGAGTTTTCTTGCCTTTTTTTCCTTTTTTTATAGCTGAAAAGACTGAAACAGCCATATTTTGAAAATTTCAAGTATGCTACTAAGATTCTTCAAAGTATTTTGCTTATGTTCGACATATATAATTTATTAATTTGGTTTTAAGATCCTTATTTTAAGAAATTATGAAGACAATCACTAATTGAAAGGACTAACGATTGAAATTAGTTAACACAACTTCAATGCAAGGTTGTTTCTTCAGTTACTATTAAACAAATTTTATTAAGAAAATTTGATTGTCACAGCATATAAAATGTAGCAAAAAAAAAGATGCATTTTAGTATTTCCCATAATAGAGCAAGCAAGGACTAATATGACATAGTATATTTATATAAGTAGTATCTAATATTAATTAGTATAATATATATTATATAACCTATAATATATATATATATTATATATACTATATATTTACCTCGTGGCCCTACGGTATAAAAGTCAGTCTAGGTAGCCTTAATGCTTTCAAAAAGAACAATAAGGCAACCACTAAAAACATAGAGCCGGTGCGTTCTTTATGACTAATAGTTACAAAAATACCTAACACAACACTATGGGTGACTCAAGAGACTCACCCAAAAAAGAAGAGCAATAGGATCAGATTCAGCACGAACTTCCTGCAAAAAAATGTGGACAGAACCCATATATAGCAAAATTGGCTTCGTGCGTACCGACTCGACCCAGCAGAAATAATAATTCTAACCCAAAACCCTACATAAGGAAAAACCGTACATATATAGTATAATATGAGACTAATATATAGATTACTAGCAGTTAATATATATATTATATAATTATATATATATATATAATATAAACTATATAAATTGATATAGAAGAAAAGCCCTATTTAAACAATTGCTATAAATAAAATTTGATAGAAAAACAAACTTTTAAAATATATTGGGGGCTTTATAATTTAACGTTAAATATTCTGGCACATTAACTCTTATTGATATCACACTCTAACAAGTCTGGTTAGTAAATAATGTGTTTCTTTGCTGAATAATTTAGAAAATAAAAAATGAATAAAAATTTTATTAGATTTTTAAAGAAAACTTATTTTTTAAAAGTTAAATCTTTAATTATATTTTTTAGTCTTTCAACCACATATTTAAAACTAATATAATTATAAATTATGTTATTAAAATTATAGAATCAAATCAATAATTAACAGACTAACAACATTTGTGTATTTAGGAATTAAAAAGAAAAAGTTTGCAAATAAATAATGAGACTAAATAAACATAGAAAATAATGCTGAACATAAGGCACTTAAAAAAAGACATCATTCATGCATAATTTCATGACAGATATCACAGCATCAATAATTCAATTGTACCAGTCTTCCACCTGTAAGACATGGTAATGGCTATTCTTGGCTCTTTCTGTTGTCTGTTTTTTTTCACTGCTTTTTTCTTCATGGTATATAATACATTGTTATTGAACTATATTTTAAGTGCCTTTCAAAATTAAGTAAGGCTGTCTTTAAGTCAGCTCTTTTTTTAATGAATTTTTAAATAGTTTTTTAGTAATATCTTTAAATATGATGTAGCAAGGAATATTTTTTATTAAAAAGCTAGGAAATAAAGAACAAACTTGTCCCGCCACAACGAAACTAATAGTTAGTTTCATGTTGCCTGGAATGATTTCATTTTTTTTAGCGGCCTAAATTTTCTCTCTAAGGATCCATCCCTCTCTTATTGAAATCCATTGTTTTTATATCAGTTTTTTTGGTAAGGACAATTAGATATTTGTGGGGATCAATTATCTTCATTTGTATTATTATGTTCTTTGAGTTATTATATATTTAGCTACAATCATAGTACAATAACTTGTGAATCTCATCAATTGAAATAGGGATCTATTTTATTTTGTTGTGGTTGGTGCATCTAATTATTTATGTTGTGGAATAGGGAGAGCTCCACTAAATGGATGC